TGCCACCTACCAATCTGGAGTGGCCTGCCTCTTTCTTTGGCCTCTCCCCACCCTCCGCTCACTGGGACCAGATTCAGAATTCACCCACGAACTCCCTAGGTTTCAAACCAACTAGGAGTTGGTTGAGCCAACAAGGAGATGGAAAAGATGCATCCAGGGGAGAAAGAGGCATCCACGGGGGTCTTAGGAGAGAGGTATCCATGGTGGGCCCTGCCCATAATGCCTTCAACAGCCCAGTATGGCTGGTAAAAAAGCCAGATGGCTCATGGTGGATGATGGTGGACTACTGAGAATTAAACAAAGTAATGCACCTCTGCCCCAAATTCTGCTGTACCCACCTTTGCTACCACCCTGGATACCTTGTTCATGGTCCTAGAAGTGTTCCATGCTGTCCTAGACTCAGCAAATTCTTTTTCAGTACATCCCTGGCTGTTGAGTCACAAGATTAATTTGCCCTCACATGGGAGGGGCAACAATGGACCTTTCAAGTGTTTCCCCAAGGCTACATGGACAGCCAATGGTATGTCATCTGATGGTAACAGACCTGTCTCTATTCTCCTTCCCCACCTCAGTGAAATGGGCTCATTACATTAATAATATAACCTTAACATGTGAAGACTTGCCTCTCCTACAGGGTACCTTGCAGATTTTGTTGGAGCATCTGCAAGGGACAGGATAGGAACTGAGCCAACAGAAAATTCAAGGCACAGGCACCACCATAAAGTTTTTGGGAATCATTTTGTTGGGTAAGACGTGAATTGTCCTAGAAGCTATGATGAGATGAAACTTATCCAACTGCTAGGAACATAAAAGAGATACAAACCTTGTAGGGATTTTGAGAATTTGGAGGACTTTTGTTCATCCACCTGGCACAGTGCCTCTGTCCCTTATACCACCTGGTAAAGAAAGAGAACATGTGGGACTGGGGATCAGAACAGCAAGCTGCCTTTGCTAAGACAAAAAATACTAGAGAAGTTGATTAAAGCTCTGACCAGGGCTACCATTTGAATTAGACATATCCATGACTCTGGAAGGTAGGGGTTGGGCACTGTGGCAGAGACAACAGAAGGAGAGAGTGCTTCTAGGATTTTGATCCTAGGTCTGGAAGGGATCAGAAAGCTGATCTACCCCCTAGAGCAACAGCTCCTAAGAGTGTACACAGTGCTCCTCTCATGAAGGAACAATATATTATGGTAACAACTTCCCTTCTTATCGGGGTGGGTTGAGAATATGTTCCATCGATCCACCTCTACCATGGCTCAAACCCCCCGCTGACTAAGTGGCAAACCTATTTGCAGTAGAGGAGCATCCTGTCCTCAGCCGCTGTCTCTAAAAATGTGAGTACTACTAGGTCCTGTAGAATATGTAGATTCTCTAAATGCCCCCACCCCATTCCTATGCCAGCCCCTGCAGCCTGTAGAGAGGCCCAGTATATACCGACGCCCGGCATACAGATGCCTGGAGACAGGGAAAAACCCAGTGCACTAAACAGAGTGGTTTGCTTGGCGATCACTCATGAACCCTAGTTGTTAATCCTTTGCACTGGCAGTTGGGCTGTTCTAAAGAGATTAACCCCATGACTTGAACAATGGAAAGCCAAGGAATAGGTGGTCATGCATAAACCCTTTTGGGGTCAAGATAAATGGAAAGGCATTTGCAGTTCCCCTGCAAGAGTCTGGGGGAGCCCTTGCTGTCTTCCACAGCTGGGAACATAAGGCACTACCACCCTGTGGTAATCAGGAAGCTGAGGCCCTAGCTCGGGCACAAGCCCTAACAACGAGCCCTTGAGTAGATAAAATAGATTGGATGCATAGAAAGAACAGCCATCATAGCACCTGGCTGGGATGAATATTGCCAAGGATACCCGATTGCCCTTGGAGTACATTGACAGCTTGTGCTGTGGGATCTAAACGATGCTGAAGGCAACTGCCAAAGAAGTCTGGGACCATCGGCCAGAGTTCCCAACCCGTGAAGGAGGCAAATCAATAATATTGGTCTGTGCCCTTTGAGTGAGGGTTCTAAATATGCCTTGGTTTATGTGGACACTGAGTCTGGCCTAACCCAAGCTTTTCCCTGTTGTTGCATAAACTGTGCTGTCCCCATTAGGGGATTAGAGAAGCTGTGTCCAGATGGGGATGGGTTCATGTGACTCACCCTGGGTTATAGACATTCGAGCACCAAGGAACTCTTATGCTGGGAACAGAAAAATCACGCTAAACAGAACAACCCCAACACACCAGGAATAAGGGATATATATCACAGAAACTATATAGTCATTCTGTCATATCAAAGAATAGAGGCTGGTTTGGCACTGACGGGTATGGCCTCTCAGGTATTTATTGGGTAGCCCTGAATGGGACCCAGTGATTATGTGGCACAAACCTTTGGCCATGGCTTCCATCTGAGTGGTTGGGCCACTACACTCTGGGATTTCCCTGGACACAGGCAAGAATCCACCCCACAGTAACAAAAACAGCCCACTTTCCTCTCAAGGCACATTTTGTTTTCCATTGGAGCAATCACTTGGCCACCGCCTTTGTCCCCTCGATGGATCTGCAAGACGTTGTAGGACACGTAGAAGGCCCTCTTAAATTCTCCCAGCAAGCCTTCAATGATAACAGCAAAACTTGTTTTTACTGAACCCTGAAATGTCTCCAGGAAGAAAAGCTGGGCTCCCAAATAAGATGACCTGGAGCATCACTATTGCCTCAAGAGGAGGCCCTTGTGCCATTGTATGTTCATACCTGATGAGTCGGCTGATGTATCATCTTTATTACATCACATAAAACTACCAGAGAACACTCTGAGTGATCTGAACCCTAGCCCAGGGACTTAAATCCGTGGTTTAAAGCATGGGGCTTTCAGGAAAAAAAAAAAAAAAAAATTGTTATGTATTTGAAAAATCATTATCTTAATCTATGTTTTCTCTTGTATGTCTCTATATTGTTGATGTGGTATCTGTCTCCCATAGTAGCCAGCCAACCACCTGACTAGCCACCTCCCGGCTAATAAAACTTCTTGCTGAGCGCCCAGCACACGTTATAAAAGAGAGGGGCATAAAAGATTGTAAGAGCCAGTCAGGAGAAAAAGAATGTCAGAGGAGGTCATCGAGAGGACTTGACCGCAGGTTGACCCATGAGCCACACCTAGGCAACCAGAGGCTCCTCATCCCCTCCTCTGTCCTTGAAATGTACATTCTGCCCACGGTTCCTACAGTCCGCACAGTGGGAGCTTTTTCAAGGATGCAGCTTCGAGAGAGCAATGCATTGTTGAGACGATCTGGAGGGATTATGTGATGAACCCCGGTGAGGCCTCTACATAAAACTTTTGAGATTCTGGTGCAGAGATCTACCTGTCCTGTGACGGCCCAAGACCGGCCTTGTATGTAAGTTCCCTGGCTTATTAAACCTGCAACCTACCAATCTGGCGTGGCTGCCTCTTTGGTCTCTCCTTGGCCTCCGTGTATGGAAGCCAGTTTCAGATTTCACTGGGAAGCCCCCAGGTTTGTGAACCAACGCTTTTATTCTGGCAGATAGATGGTTTTCATTTGTGTGTTCCATTATCTCAAAAATAACCTGAATCTCAGAGAATGTAAGTGGCTTGGCCAAGGTTAAATTAATAGCAGTGTCAGAATTGAGGCCTGAATTCTGATTTCCTCACTTTCAGTATCATGTTCTTTCCACTTTTTCTTCAGTGTTAAGGAGAATATTGAGTACAAACCTTCAGGGCTTTACACACTTAAAAAGGTGCATCCCAGAATGACCATTGATAGTGAGATCTTGGGTCAATCTGAAATATAATTTTGAAAAGGAAAGTCCTTGCAAGGGACATGCCATCCTTCACTTGGGCTATATATACCAAATATATATATATATATATTTTTTAAAGATTGTCTTTATGTGTGCCAAACATTCCACACCACTGAGAGCTATTACACAGATTTCTAGTCTAATTGGTTTGTATGACAAGAGATTGTGATTTAACTTTCTCATATATTTGGAAGGGGAGCTTTTCCTTTTGTGAAACTCCTGCAAATCTCACAAAATCAGCCAAGCCTGGACATCCAGGAGCTTATTTCTTGAACTCCATGGTTCAATAAAGATGCACATCCTATTGTTGTTGTTGAGAGCCCACCCTGCCCCCCCAATATATCTTGGACTGATTGCAGTCTGACACAGATGAGCACTTAGCAGCTTGCCAAAAATGACACCCTTTGCATCTTTTATTTTATTTTTCTTCTGAAATCAGGCCACACAAAGGATCATTCAGCTAGAGTAAAAGCTCGTCAGCAGATTTCAGAGCTGCTTAGGAAACTGCCACCCCAGTGTGAAAGCTACCCCCAGAGTGAGCGTCACAGCATGTGCTACCTAAGCAGCCTTCTCTCCTCCAGGTGGCATCAGGGCCCTGGGCTGTTGCATGCTCTCAAGTTCATTAGCAACCTGTCCAAGACCTTAGATTTAGGAACCGGGGCACCGCTTGGTTGGTCCATCTGTGAGTGAGACAGAAGTATCAGCTCTGTGAATTGGAAGTGGCTTCTTGGCTCCCCCAGTCAGTAAGCAGAGCCTCCCGATGGTATGTGAGCATGCCCACACCAACTGCGGACTGCAGAGACTTAGGTTTTAAGTTCTTGCTAGAAGGCAGAGAAAGAGGAAGTTCCCGTAATGCTTCCCCGCTGCCCCTCCCCTTGCTACATTTTTAACCATGCATTTACCCCCATTAAATCAGAATTGATGAAACCTATAGAAATGTAGTAATGTTTGAACATTGAAAAGCACATTGAAAAATAACAATATTCTTGACTATACAAGGCAATTTCTTCAAATCGAGTGGTGATGTGATGTGTGTTGTTAACCGTATCTACGCAGGAAGTGGTTTTATTTTAAAGTTTTTGTACTTACCCCCACCCCCTGCCTTTTTTTTTTTTTCTCCAGTACTGAAATTAAGCAGCATCCAACATAGGCCTACTCTTACGACATGTGACTCAACTTTACTGTTTTCCGTTTTGTTGAAAGAGTCATTAACAGTTGGAAGTTGATGGCAGTTTCAGTAACAAGTGATCACCGAGAAAAGGTAAGTGAATTTTAACTTCATATTGAACAGGAAATTTAAGCTTGAAAATGTTTGGCCGTGTCCTACGCTTTTGTGTGAACATACAAATATTTCTACAAAAACATGTTTTCACCTGTGGTTAAACATCTGTTTGTTTCTTTTGGTGGAGAAAGACTATTCTTTTCATATTTGCAACTGTCAAATTCAAAAGTTCTTTAACAGAAATTACACTAGGATCATTTGCTAAGATTTTATACTAAAATGTTAAAGACAGATTAAGGTATAGTTTTAGTTTGGACATACTTTTAAAAATAACTATTAGAGAAAATACGGGACTTTGCATCTTTAACTGATGGTTTTACAAAAATGTGTAGTATTCAGGATCCAGATAATGAAAGATTAAAACTTTGTAACAATTCTTTGTAACAACAAGAAATAACATCTGAATTGCAACGTGAAAGATTTCCACTATAAAGTGTTGTGTTAAGTTAGCATTAGAAATCTTTAAAAAGGTGTAGTTTATTAAATGTGTAGTTTATTAAAGAGCTATTAAAAAGCAGGACAGTTTATGGGGCGCCTGGGTGGCTCAGTCGTTAAGCGTCTGCCTTCGGCTCAGGTCATGATCCCAGGGTCCTGGGATCGAGCCCTGCATCGGGCTCCCTGCTCCGCGGGAAGCCTGCTTCTCCCTCTCCCACTCCCCCTGCTTGTGTTCCCTCTCTCGCTGGGTCTCTCTCGGTCAAATAAATAAAATCTTAAAAAAAAAAAAAAAAAAAAAGCAGGACAGTTTTAAAATGCAAAAGAAAGTATTTTAATTTTTTTCCTAAATTGTACTTAAGAAGGGTTAGTTTCTATTTCATAAGCAAAACTCTCTGTTAAAAAAAGAAGACATAGCTGCCTTTATCGAAGGTTACTTTTGGGAGAAGGGGCAAATTAGAGATATATTTTTGGTATTTATATAATTATATAATTTTCCTTCTTTGAGATTTTCCAAAATAATATACCTTAGAAATGAAAGAGATTTGTTAACCATCAAGTGATGAGAACTTTTCTTTTATATTGACTTCTTGCTTTTACAAAATGTCTTTGTGTTCTGTAACATATGTACAAAAAAATATAAAGTACTGTTAATCTCAGAGACAAATACCTAAAATAAATCTGAGTGTAGATTTTTGAAAGAATTTTAATAAGAGCTCCAGATATGATCCGCTCTTCCCTAATATTATTTTTATTGTGCTGTTGAACGGGGGAAGTGATGGCCCCATAACACCGATTTTTTTGTGTTATTAAAAAATGGTTACAGGGTTGATAAGTGGCAACAATTCTTTTCTTTTATTATCTTTTATTGAAAGACACATATAAATGTTTTTTGATATGGTCAATTTAGTAGGAAATTATTCGGCATACTAGTACACTCTATTTTAAGACCTCTTCAGTAGTCAATACTGAGGCTAGCTACTTGTTGACTATTAAAATGATCACACACAAAAAAGAGATTAGGACCTGATGTTCAATACATGTTTTATTGTTGGACTGTGGGGAGGCCCTGGTAATATGCATTTGCTTTGATATTCTGATTAGCTTTTCAATTGGTTACATTTCCACACAATGGAAAGCATTATTTAAATCTGTCTTCAATATTGTGGTTCTGAACCTCTGCATCTACAGAAGCTATATAATTCAGATAGTTTGGGTTGATATGTTATTACTTTATTTCATTTCATTATAAAAGAAGATCACATGAATAAACATATGTAGTACTTACACATTAGCAAGAGTGACTATCCACATAAGCATTTGGCACTGAAAAAAGGTCCACAGTAGTTTTTTAAACCATTTCATATTTTTAAAAGCCAAATTCCTTGTTAAATGATTGTTTCTTGCAGAAGCTGTCAAATTAAAATATAAATACCTTATGAGGTGTGTCTAAAACTAAGAATGAATTACGTAGCTTGGTGTGGATTTATAAAGAGCAACAATTAGAGATGATAGACATAAAAACCAAGACACTCTCAGAATTGTTTGCAAAAACAAGTAATGCATTATCTCTTGAATACACAGACCAAATCTTAAAGAGAGTCAAGACAAATAACATACTATCGGTTATTATACCTTTATACATTTTAAGTGAATAAATAAGAAACAAATTTTGGTGAAATGAAACAATGCAGAGAATCTCATTTGGAAAGTAATTTCAAAGCTGATTTATTAAAAGTATATCATGCTTTTCCACTTGGGGCTAGCATTCAGCAAAATTCGGAAAGGAGACTCTTTTTTTCTTTGATATTCCTCCTTATTCTTTTTGAATGCTTTGTTTTGGAGTGGCCTGCTTTGTCCCTAACTTAGGGTCTCGCAGCCTTGGTACCTAGAAGGACAGACCCCACTTGGATCCTTCCATCCCACTCCCATTGTCCTTAAAACTTGCTCATTTATTTCCTGGAATTTAGAGCGTCTGATAAAAATAATCCATGTTCACAGGAGAAGGCTGCAGAGCTTTGTTTCTTTTTACTTCTTAACCAGGCCTCCCCTCCCTGGTATAATTTTAATAAGGTCTCTCAGCAGACAGATCCAAAGGAACAGCTACATGTTGAGGACTTCGGTCAAGTGTAGAGAATGATACCATGGCAAATAGTGGGGGGGGGAATATTTGGGGGCAGGAAGAGTGTTTCATTAACCATTGGTCCTGATATGGTATTTAAACACAGAGTGTCTTATACGAAGGGTCCATAGAGATGTGTCCATTTCTCTAAGATATTCCTGTATAAATATACACCATTCTTGTAGTGGATGAAAATTAATTGCACTATGCCTTAACACTATTTTAATATTCCCATACACTTAGAAAATATTTAACATAATCCATTGTTTAATATATATGCATTTTTAAAATAATTTAATATTCTTTTTTTTTTATTAAGATTTTATTTATTTATTTGAGAGAGAATGAGAGAGAGCACATGAGAGGGGGGAGGGTCAGAGGGAGAAGCAGACTCCCTGCCGAGCAGGGAGCCCGATGCGGGACTCGATCCAGGGACTCCAGGATCATGACCTGAGCCGAAGGCAGTCGCTTAACCAACTGAGCCACCCAGGTGCCCAATAATTTAATATTCTGAATTTAAATCTTTGGGTACCAGAAGCATATATATATATTTTTTGCATTGCATAATACATGTTAACGGAGTTAGACTTTAAAATATAAGTATTCTAAATTTCAGTTTAGAGTTGGCAAAATGCCTTTGTTTTCAAATGATAGAAAATGAGTTGAAATTAGTTTAGGCAATAAAGATAGGCATTAATTTGCATAACTGAAAAACCCAAGGAGAGCAAAGTCAGGCATAGTAGAATCCAGGAGCTCACACAGGATTAAGATTGGGTTATATTTTCTTCATTACCTAGCTCTTTTTTTTTTCACTGTGCTATCAGCCCTCTCTGACAGAAGCTAGCAGAGTTGACAAGAAAGCTTCAGGTTTACATTTCACCTTTTCAGAGTCTGTTGCAGAAGGTTGGCTTTCCCCTATCACCACAGTAAAGGTCTCAGACTGAGGTCTGATTGGACCAAATTTTGTCACCTGACCATGGTAGAGCTAATCATTAACTCTAAGACACAAACACCAAGAGTGACTGACTGGATTGGGTCCTAGGCCTTCTCTTGCATGGAGGAACCGCCCAAGCCTGCAACACACGTACTCTTAGCTGAACAGAGGTGTCTCCACATAGAAACGAAAATGCTTTCCCCAGAGGAAATGTGCCTTTATTTCTTATGGGTAAAAGCCACATAACTCTACTATACAGCCACATATGGTCACATTTAAAAACAGTGCTTATTCAAATTATAAAATAAAAATTTCTCCAAACTTTATAATCAGACAGAAATACAGTATCAGTTTAAAGGTAGGTCTGAATGAAGCAAACGTTTCAATTAAACTGAATTTTTAAGTATTTTTCAAGAGCTACCTCATATATGAACACCTGTCTCAATATTTTTCTTCTGGAAGTTTATAATCTAGTATGATTGTTATATTAATATTTATAATACAAGTAAAATTTGTCCAGTACCATACGAGGATTCAGAAGTTCGTGAAACATTTTGTATTCCTAAGTGCCAGGCAATAAATTAGAGAATTTCCGGGTGTTATATCATTTGATTATATCCTATCAGAGAGATCAGGACAGTTTGGGAGGAAAGATTTGTAGTAGTTTTCAGAGAGACCTAGGATTTGGGATTTGAGAAATATTCCAGAGAACAGAAAGGAGATATGTCCAGGCAAAAATGTCAGAGAATTTCCAAGGAAGAATGAGTTGTCTAGTTTTGTTAGCTGCAAGTATAGTAGTAGGAGGTAAGGCCAGAAAGACTGTTTGAGAAGATGAAGAAATGGAAATGAAGGAAACAAAGGGAATATATCCAGAAACCTGACAAGGTGTCAAAGACTAAGACAGTTGGGTGTAATCACTACTTGTAATCAAGTAGGTAAGTTAACAGATAAGTTAACCTGAAACTGAAGGGAGAGCACTTTAATGAGTGTGTATGTGGATGATGGGATATAAAGATGCACTGAGGAGACAAAGTTGAGGAAATATACGCTTCATGGTTCCCATCGCCTCTGAAATTGTAGGGAAGCTCATCTAATGAGACGGAATATTTATGGAATGCCAAAGAATAAGCAGAAAATCTTATTTTTAAAATTGGCCTTGTCGATTACACACAATACTATTGTGGGTTTAAAATTGATTTTCTCTTTTGGTGAGCATCAGCCCAATTCAATTCAATTATGTAAATAATTTTGAACTCTAAGCACACTGGGTTATGCTAGGAATTACTGGGGACACAAAGAATCAATGTGCTATCTAGCCAGTGAAAACTTTTTAGGTAGTTTAGTGCACAAACACAAGAATTTAAGTATAAATCTGTATGTATAAATGCAATGCTATAGAAATATCCCAGAACATTTTATTCTCAGAGTCCCAGACTCATTTTGCCAAATGCAATGGTCATTTACGTGTCTTCATATTATCTACTATGTGAG